GTTACTGAAAACCTAGATGATATATGTGTGAAACATGAACTGCTCTAGTAGGTTTACTAGAAGATCAAAGGCTCCTATATGAAAGTGTGTGTCTGCTTTAAAGACTTAAAAGGCCTTAGCAGCAGGTTCCTCTTTAGACAAGATATCTGATAGCATGAAGTTGATCAGAGAGTTTAATTTAGTAATTCAAATAATAGTGGATTGCAGGTACAGTATCTAGTATAAAATCTAGTAATAGATAAACTACTTAAATTAGTAACTCAAAAGACACAGATATAGCTAAAATATACTCTTGTTAATGTAACAAGATCAGGTATAATCCATGTTCTGTGCTGGTATTGATCTAAAAGTTCAATAAACTGTGCCAGACCTGTGAGTAGTCACCTTAATATTTAAAAAAAAAATAATAATCAAACCAAAATATTAAATAGATAATCAGAATATAGAGGTTTCAGCTCAAGAATAGATACTATTCCACATGATTTTAGCTAAAAAATTCTAACAGTGTTACTAGTACTAATTTAATTGACTAATATTATTGTCTAGAGCAAAGTGAAGAACTTATATATTTATATGCTTTAATGACTGAATTTATGATTTTGATACATCTATAATAATAATATCAAAAATATAGTTTCAGCATTTTCCATTTGTAATACCCTGAAAAATTTTGTTCTGTAAATATATATGACCAGATTTTTCAGAGATAAAGGCTATTAATTGAGTGCTGTTAAAGGCTTTGGACTTATACTAGTTTCCAGTTCCTAGTTATTCTTTATTATCACTATATATTATTAATTTCTTTCTTTTTTTTGTTCTAACTTTAAATAGATACCACTTTCTTTTCCTTTCTTTTCTCATTTCTTTTTTTTTTTACTTCACATCTCACTTCTAACTTTATATTATATACTGCTTTGTTTTTTTTTTTTTTTTTTTTTTTTTTTAGATATTCTAGCTTCTAATAGTAGATACTGTTCTAATTTTATTCTTTTTATTCTTTTTTTTAAAACTATTTTTCTAGAGATTCCAGCAATTCAGTTAATATAGTCTTTAGATATAATATAGCAGCTTTTGAGCTTAACCTCCAATTGTTCAAATTTAAATGAGGTTTATATCTGCTGTTATTGCTGCTGTAGCTTTATTAACTTGCAATGAGTATATTAAAAATTTGTCTTTTAAGCCTATATGTTTAGTAAACCATTTTACTATTGAACTAATTGCTGAGGCTGAGAGCTTTTTTTGCTTTAATAAAATAGTAGTGTCTTTGTAATTGTTTTTGGTTAAATTTCTAAATATTGTTTAATAGCATTACTAAATAATATTTTAATTTCATATTTTTAATAGAAATAAATCTGTTATTCTTAAAATGGTCTGTTTTTAACTTACAGATCAGAATCTACAAGATTTTATTATTATTTTATTTTATATTCTTTAAATTTAGGTTTTTTAATTTTCTGTTCTTCTTATTGTCCTTAATTCAAGTATGACTAAGGCTATGTTTCTTTTGTATATTAATATATTATCTCTGTATATAGCATGTTCACATAATATCTTAATGCTATTATTAGTAATAGATTATATAACTAATCTGGTGTTTATTCTTTGATGCTTTTTTTCTTATCACTCTTAGTACTTGTGTTATAGCTAATGACTTTTTAAAATCTACTTTTTTTTCAAATGCTGATTATTTACAATTACTTATAGGATTTTAAAAGTTTATAACTTCAGACCTATTATATATATCTAACTATATAATGAATACTAAAATATATACTTCAAGTATATTTTCTATATTTAGACCAAATTTCTCAAAAATTTCTTATAAAGGTTCTAATACTTCTCATATTTAGCTTTGTAGAAGAAAGATATTATATTTTTTGCTAATTGTTTTATCTTCTCTAATAATTTCTTTATAGATAAATATAAACAGCCAGAAATTTTCACTGTGGGTTTCTCCAAGGTTCTACAAAACCAAATAGGCTAAGCACAAATATATTTTTTATATTTAATAAAATCAATATTTTTCAATTTAGCTTTAGAAGCAGCAGCAACTATTCAGCTAATAACTATTCTGAGATTACAATTATAGTCCTTGCTTTACAACTTTTTATATAGTAGAGAACTTTCTGTATCAAGTGTAGAAGAAATACATATAATATATTTTATTTTTTTACCTGTCTCTGACTTGCCAATCTGAGAAGTCAAAGACCTGAATTCAAATATCTGCTGGGTTTAGTACTGAAAGTACTCACCTTATCTTATAGATTTAATTATTGTTTTCTAAACAAACTTGTTACAAGTATTTGTAAACTTTTTTGCTACTAGTATTTTGCCTAACCTCATTGTCACTAGTGCTATATAACTATTTATAAATACTAAAACCTAGAAACTCTTTAACAAATTTGCAAAACTTTAAAGGCTATACAAAAAAAGGCTTCTGTTTCTAGTTTTACAATTTTCTAAAAACAAAATTTCTGACTATTTTTGAATACATTTGTTTATCTAATTTTTATACTAATTAATTGTCAAGATATCTATATATAGGTTTATTATTAATAACAATCTTCAGGCTAGATAGCTATTGTATATCTTCAGGTTATTCAACAATTAACATATAAGGTATTTTGGCGAAGTTGAAAAAATTAGAATAAAATTTTTTTTATTTATATTATAAAAATATTTTTTTATTTTTATTTAAATTGTATATTTATTTAGAATTGTTTTTATAAAAAATTAGTTAATATTAAGATTGTTTTAAAGAAGCAATTTGTAGAGTTGTATATCAACAAAATTTTAGAGGAGGTGGGGTATTGTGGCGAATTTAAGCTATCCTATGATTTAATAATCTGAATCAGATAATTTTTGTGCCATTTGATTTGACTCATTGAGACAAATCAAATAGTGGTTAGATCATCTAATTCTGATCTCTAGATCACAAGATATTTGTAATTATGTGAAGTATCAAAATTTCGTTATAATTCTCTCAAGATTATTTTGGCATGGCATATAATCAGTAATATCTTGTGATCCAGTGATCAGAATTAGATGATTTAATCACCATATGATTTGTCTCTATGAGATAATTCAAATAGTATAAAAATTAACCAATTTGGATCATTAGAAACGAAATAACCCAAATTCGCTACAATAACCCTCTTCACCAAAATACACCCTTTTATCTTATATCTTTTTTTGTCTGCTCTAACAAACAAACTCTTTATTTCATCTTCAACTCTAATAGTTTGCTATATTATTAAGGGTATAGATCTCTAAATATTTTGCTTGCATTAAAGCAAAGGCTCTTACTAAAATCTGGACTTGCTTATAACTCTTGCCAACTGTCTGATTATTATCTAATTTATTCTTAACAGTATTTTTAAATAAGCTTTTGTCTTCTTTAGTTTTTGTTAAAATATAATTACTTATACTTTTTTTGTGTTTATAATTAGCTTATAAAACTTTATTTCTTTTAACAGCATTGGATTGCTCTTGTTCCAAACTAAAACAAACACACAATTTTTCAGGTCTGACAAAATGACTGGTAAAAGAACTTGCTATTATATAATTGTTGTTTTTATCTCTATAGTAAATATCTATAAGCATAAATAGATTATTTTGTTGATTTCTAATATATAAATTAAATGAATATGATTAGTTTAAAATACTTTACTATACTAAAATTACAGTATTATAATATTTTAATAAATAACTATTAACTATAAATAAAAAGAAAATAAATAAAAATAAATAAATTATAAGCTATATCAATGTGAATAAAATAAATTAAATAAAAATAAATAAAATATGAATAATACAAAGAAAAATCCAGACTTCAATCATATAAATTTTATATATACCAAGTTTAGTTTTTTCTTAGTATCATTAAATAAGTGTCAGCTTATTTTTGAATAACTGATTGAAATAACAATTAAATCAATACAAAAAAATAGAATATAAACAAATTAAGTATTAATTTATCTTTGAATAATTTGATTGATCAACATATAGAAATTAAATAAGTAATTATCTGCATTGATTAAAATTAATATAAATAATAAAATATCTAAACATAATAATTTATCACTACACTTATTGAAATAATTAGAGAAATACTTATATATCAATCAGGTCATAGGTGCTAACATCATATCTACAAAATGTAATCCTTCTTTTATGATTAGCAATAAAGTTTATATATTAAAACTGATAAATAGATATTAAAATTTAAACCAGAGCTACTAATATTTATATCTAAAAATCATGTGAAATAGATTATAAGAAAAATATTAAATATAGATTTATTGAATTTAGGTGTAAATCAAATCATATGCAGAAGTTGCCTGCATACAGAAGAATATATTATACTAGTTTATATGCACGTTCAAATGTCTGTGCTTAAAAAAATTTATAGTTAAAAAAATTTTATATCTAATTACCTTAAATTTTAACTCTAGAATACTAAACAACAGATTACTAATAATCTATTATACAATATTTCAATATTTATTTGTTATAAGAAATCAATGCAAGAACAGATCTAACTTGAAGCATTAATGGTGATTAGCTAAATCTCTATTACCAATGCATTCTTGAACATGTACTGATCAATTTCATAGCAGAAATACATAATAATTTATATATCAATAAGGTATATAAAGACCTTAATTTAAAAGCAAACCCTTTTGATAGTTAGGTTAGGGATGCGTTACTTTGCATGCTCAAATATAGTTTAAGCTATAAGAAAAACTTTCTTTTAAAGAGTTAGTTTTATCAACTGTTTGGAATAAATATTCAAACTTTTAAAGTCAATATTTTTTTTTGCATCATATTTAATTAAGAACTATTATTGTTAATATTTTGAATTGTCAAGAAAAAAATGTAAAACATTATGAAAAAAGCATGCGGGTCAAGTAACTATAATACTGTAAAAGTAACAAAAAGACGAAGAAGATGTACTTTTTTGAAATTAAAAAAGACATGAATTCAGATAACAATAACTTCTAGACCTCTGAAAAAACATGATTTTTATTCATTAAAATTATTAGTTCATATTTAATTATTAATTTTTTTTTTTAAATAACGAAAAAAACTTTGCATGTTTTATCCACCAACCTGATACAGAGCGTAGAATCGATTTTACTATCACATGATTTTCCAACATCAATCAGCCAATCAATGATCAGGATCAGGTGTAATATAAAGAAATTCACAAACGTGCGCTTTGCATTTATCTCCTTCCTAACCTTAACCTAAACTCTAAACGAAGTTTTTAACTTAACAACATTTGTTTTCTGAGAATAACGTGACAGTAAAATCAATCCTGCGCCCTGTCAAAATTAACCAGACACATATTCAAGGGCTGCCTTAATAATTATTAATATTTAAAGCCTATCAGATCGTCAAGTTAGATCTTCACATTAGTCCCAAGGTATTAAATACATATATAATACCTATTAAACACTACAAATTTGGTGTCAATATTCCGAACAGTATTAGGAGCCTAAAAGCGAAGTTTAAATAAATTTGCAAAGATGGTTTGTCAGTAAATTTTAGATACAGAACATAATTTTAGAAATATTAAGTATAGACAACTTATTAAATTATGGATGCTCGAATCAATACGCTTCTGATTTAGTAGAAGTCGATAATTTATGATTTGTCGTAGTAGCTTAGTAGGGTGCAACACATATAATAAATCAAATCTTATTTTTGAATTCAAAGCAGAATGTTATTACTCATTACTCATATAAATAAAGTTGCACCGAGTTCAGAATATTTGCCAAAATTGTAACGATAATGATAAATTTTTAGAGAATGTAGTTTCATTTTGCAAAATCAATTAATATAATAATATTTTACTTACTTTTATCAATTTTAAATTTTAATAAAATTGTTCTGTAACATTTTTTCATGACATTAGTATTGTAAACGAAAAAGGTCGTTATAATTAACAGATGGATAAGCTTATATTCATCTAATTTTTAATTTTATGATTTAAATTAGAATGAGCACATTAACTAAACAAATAATCATAATTATTACATTACATCCTATATAATAACTTATTGATTTGGTCATTGTCAATTTTTTCAGTTGTTGCAAGTTCAATGTAATAAAATAACCGTAAATATATACTGGGCATAAACATTTTGAACGATTCAGATAGTTCAAAATAAGAAAAAAAAGTGGTTCAATGAAATAATTTAAGGATAACTAATGACTAAAATTTATTAGAATGATGTAATCAGTGTTTAAAATTGTTTTGCACAGTGCATGTAAATTTTACAATGATGGAAATTTTTTTAATAAAATTAAAATTTAACACTTTAGTAACAAAATTTTCAATTTGTGCAAGTAAATTTTTTTTTCTGAATTTTAAACATTGGATGTAATAATGTATGATGTAATGCTAAATGCTTAATTATTAAATAAAAAAAAAAGAATAAATAATTGAAAAAAATTTTTTTTACTTGCACCAAAAATTTAATTTTAACTAATCTCATGTGAAAATATAAGCAGAAAAAATAAAAGATAGTATTTAGCATAATTCAAACAGATAAACAATTTTTAGATTTAAAGTTGATAAAATCTAATTAATTATGACTAAAGTCTTTAATTATATTCTATGATCTTACTAAAGCTTCCTTGAATACAACATTTCGAGTGTAAGTCTCATCTTTTTCTTCAATTGCGCCATTCTTTACAAAAGCTTTAAGATTACGCCCTTCATGAACTCATGACATAGCTACATACAACTGTCCATGAGTAAAGACTAACTGTAGAAGTTATAAGCCAACATGTGGTAGTATCTGCCCTTGAGATTTATTGATAGTTAATGCGAAAGCTAGCCATATAGGAAACTGTTTTCACTTTAATATGAATGGTAATCCTGAGTTTTCAGATGTGAGTAGTAGAGTTTTTGGAATAAATACAGTTTGCCGTGATGATTTCCTGTTGCTATTTCAGCATCAATAATCTGCGTTTGAAATTACCAACAGATAAGCCTTGTCCCATTGCAAAGTCCATTCTTCGGATCGAGATTTCTAAGCAACATAATGGGGGCCCCGATCTTTAATGTGAGCATGTGTGGGGGAAGGCTTTGAGGGGTTAAGGAGTTGAGATATTCTATTAGATATAAATTTAAATCATCATCTGGCACAGAATCAAAGCTATAAGATATGTAATGTTCTCCAGGAAATTTAGTCAAAATTATCTTTTCGTTAATTTCATCAACATCATTATTCAAGGGAGTTAAAATTGCTCTTTCTGTTATAAAAGAGCTATTAATAGTATTGGTAGTAAGATTAGGTTAAATGGCGTCTGTCAACAAATCAATAGGATTTTCTTCATCTTTTGAATGGATAACCATCTTATTGTGAAGTCGGATCATGTCATTTTCTACAGTAGGCTCTATGCCGTTGCCTATTCGTAGTAAGTATTCAGCAAATAGTTTTCTTAATAATCGGTAGCATGTTCAACTCGCATATTAATGGTTAATGAGAAAACTCGATTATTATCCCAAATGTAGGATTTGTTGAGAGCTGCTTTAACGATCTGTGCTCTAGATCCTTTGCAAACTACAGGTAAGACTTGTCAAAAATCTCCTCCAAAAAGAACAATCTTACCTCCAAAAGGAAGATTAGTATTCAAAATGTCTCTCATTGTTTTGACAACAGCTTCAGGGGCATAACGGTTTGTCATTGCTACTTCATTCCAAATAATTAAGGATGTTTCATATAATAATTTAGCCAACTCACTATCCTTTCCAATGTTGCAAGTAGCATTCCCGTCAAGCGTAGAAATTGGTATTTTAAATCGAGAATGTGCAGTGCGACCTCTACGTAAAAGTAACGCTGCAATACCAGAAGAAGCTACCGCAAGTACAACTTTATTATCAGCCTGAACATGAGCAATAATGCACTTATAAAGATAAGTTTTTCCACTTCCGGCAGGCCCCATCAACGAACAACACACCACTTTCATTTCGACTTATAAGACCCATTACTTCAGCAAATACAGCACATTGTGCTTCATTTAATATATCCGCCTTTGCAAGTTCTTCTGGGTCAATTTGGTAAGACAATTCTTCAATAAGTGTCATTGGTAATTCTTCACTATTATGTTCTGGCATTAGTTCTGGTAAGTTATAATCAGTAACGGTCTTAGAATGCCTTTGCAGAAATTGATTTATGTGTCGCAGAACTGCTTGAATTTGGTGCTGTCTCTCAGGTATTCCTCTGAGTGCAAAGTTTTTAGCCATTGCGCTAAAGTTTTCATTCCATAACTGGCGTAAGTCTGTAAGATCTTCAAAGATGAGTAATGTTGCAAAAAGATTTCTTATTTGGTTAGGCATCTGAAATTCCCTAGCCTTATTCAAACATTGACAATGATGATCATCATTTTTTAGAAAACCTCTTTGCTGAGCACTTTCTTTGAAGGTTGTACATACAACACCATCAACAGTTTTAAGATCATCAAAGTCTATTGCTCCTTTAACCTTTGTTAATAATAGACACAAATAGTAATGTTCGCCTATGTAGTAATAATGGAGACCTTAGAATTTATTTATTTAAAATTATATTTTTTATTTTCATTTTTAAATAATGAATTATTTAATTTAATTATTTGATGCTTTAATTATTAATAAATATTTATTTTTTTAACTTATTTAGCTTTCAATACCACTAAAGTAGTACAGTATTACTTTCATTAGGATGCACCATATATATTCTTCTGATGCACCCACCACGTTTCCGTCTTTTCCATACTTTTTTCGATTTGTTCCAAGTGTAATATAAAGGGAACTCAGCGTATAACAGGTTTCTCGCATCTGGATCTTGGATATTCATTTTGAAATACTCAGTAAGAGAAGTTTGTTTGTTTCATTCATCTTCAATCACTTCTGTAAGGTGAGCATCCTCGTTAAAGGAAATTTTTTGTTCGCTAGAAGATGTAATTGTAGCTGTATAACAGCTGGGCTCATACTGTTCATATTAAATCCTAAAATTCTCCAGATGGATTCTGGTGCTAAGATCCAACGTGCTTCGATAAAGTTTTGAATTTTGTCGACTGTAGACCTTTGGAATTGTGTATCAGGATTTTGGTATTGACCAGCAACTTCTATTACTGCTCTATCATGACCCTTATATACATATTTAAACAAATATTTAACTGTTTTAATGCTAGCACAGATTTCCATATTTATATGGCAGTTATACTTCGCACTAAGAAAATTATTATATAGAATGATCTAACGATTATCTAGTGCAATTGATTGATTTTCTACTCTTACTACAACTTTTCGGTTATCTTGTCTACATCGGTATAATAGGTATAAATCGTCTCTCTGAAGTGTTTCGTTCTGAAATTGTTTAGGAAAACCCTTACTGCATCTTTTATATCCAGAGCTATTAACTTTCATAAATTGTGCATTAGGATTGAGCTCTCCACAGGGACTGTGAAACATATTGGCAATAACTGTAGCATACGTCTTAGGGTTAATCACAGGATCTGGAATCTCGGTGTATACAATAGCGTCGAAGTCATCAGGAGTTCGTAGTTTATCTTCTGGATGAAGTATAACTAAAATATGTGCATGCAGAAGACCTCGCTTTTGAAATTCGATCACATAAATATATGCAATAACACATCCGAGAACTCTGCATTTGAATAAATCTTTTTTTAGCTCTTGCAGTTTTTCCCAAAAGATTCGCACTAAAAAAGGTAAAGTAAGTAGGCTTTTATTTATTAACTTACTTAAAAACAGTGCTATATCAGGTCGATCTTGAGTCTTTTGACCTGATAACAGTAGAGCCTGGATCTCTGGCCAATTTGGATTACATGTTTTCGTAATAAATAGGTCTGGTTTACCAAGACACAACAAAGCCATAGTATCCTGGTATCGTTGTTGCATGTCGCGAGGGCCTCCAATGAATGTTACGAGAAGAATTATTCTAGGCCTACGTTGTTAGGATTATTATCACCATGTAAAACTGCGTCTTGAATTCCTTTGTATAATTCACTTCTAATTTTTTTTTGATTTTGTTGGTGAAAATTTAGATGATCTGCTTCGATTTTGACATACATATCGACTATAAATTGTTGAAATAATCGACCCGCTCTCAAAAGCAAATTAGTGTGGTTAAGTCTAATTTGAATTTGATACGCATAAAATTCCATTGCGTTTACGAATTTCCTTTTCTGAGTTGCGTCTACAGTGCTATTTCGTCAGTTACAGTAACTTCATTATCATCATCAGGGTTTTCGTTAGAGTTGTCAATAAGATCATTGTTAAAATATTCGATAATATTTGTTATATCAGCCAATGGAGTATCGTTAGCATTAGTAGTTTCAGTAGTAGCTTCAGGTGTGAGTGAAACACCTCTAAATAGAATTCATCAAGGACTCCAACCTTGCTCACCGTATGGAAGCAGAAGTGGATAAGCAAGAGGATCATAGCATCCACTGAATTCTGAAATGCGAACTAATTTGTCTATTTTTGTGCATAAAATTATGTCCCGTTTCTGAATCGCACCAGAGGATATATCTTCTTCAACCCAAACTGCAGCCACTTGAGAAGCAGTTGGAGTATTATGTGTTCTTTGATCAAGTTCCAGAATGTTTGTATGAATTTGCATAGATAAATTGACAGAAAAGTCAGGGGTGTGATTTGAAATAGAATAAAACCTATTAGCATAGGGGTTTACTTTATCAAGCATAAACTTGAGCGATTGGATAATATCAAGGTTAAGATTCGAATTTGGAATAGCAGTTGATCGATGATACAATTCATATTGAGTGTCCCAAATATATATTTGAAGATAACGTAGTGGTTCGGTGCAAGATTCAGGCAATAATGAACCAATCTGGTGATAGAATAATCCTTGAGCACGAAATGTATAAACTCCATTTCTTGCATTAGCAAGTTCATGATCAAATTTAACACTAATAGAAGCGAAGGTGAAAGCAGAGTTATAGAGCCAAATTTTTTCACGAAAGTTCTTGGCAACTTCATCTTGACTCGTGAAGAGATGATCTAAAAATGGTGGAATATTAGGCTCCGCAAGCACTACCTTTCCATTAGAGCAGCACATTTCAGGGCTTTCTGTGGATAGCTTGAGAGCAGAACAAAACTACAATGTATGCTATTTGTGATATCAATTTGATGTAGAATAGAAATATTACTAATATGTGTTTCTTCAGCGAAATTATGTGCGAAATTGCATAGCTGAGGATTAGAATGACGTTGACAATGAGTTGAAGCATCATGCTGATTCCTATACTAACGACCTTCAAAAGTTTCTTCAGATCTTCGTTGGGGCTGTGCAGCAACATCTTGTTGTCATCTATGCTGACGCTGTTCTTTAGTTTCTTGGGTTCCCGCACTTTCCAGACATTAATTTCAAGTTGGCTTTCATTTTCATTGCTTTTTTTGTTTTGTTTTTGAGCTGCATCAGCTTTCCTTTGTTCTTGTTCAGTAAGATAACGTGCTTTACGTAGCATTCTAAGGAAAATTTTAGAGACCTAAAATTTGTTTTGTTGGTAAATATAAACAGGCACGTTAAGTATATTGCTAACAACTTTTATTTGTAGATGATGAGAGGTGCGGTTGTATTTATGCAAATAGAGTCTGAAATAAGAATTATTAAATGACCGTAAAAGTAGAGCTTTGTGTCAGGTAAAACGCGATGAAAAGTTTAAGGTGCTTTTATATAAGCATTTAATTATTTTGACCGTAAAAGCTCAGAACCAGGGCCAGGTACACACAACCGGGGACCCAGAAACCAAGTGCTTGATTCAAACTTTAAATTAATTTTTTTTATATTAATACACTATGCGATTTATTATATATGTATGAAACCACATGCTTATTTGTCACTGGTAGAGATTTTTTTAATATACAGTAGATGCATGCATTAGTTAAGTTGCTATGTAATGCGTGTTAAGTAGTAAATTAGAAACTGGATATTGGCTAATAAATAATATATGTTAGTTTGGATAAGTTGAGGTGCTTTATATATAGGCCATTAATCTAGTCGTATAGAATCAAAAAAATAGATTTAATTTAAAGAAAATTTTAAATCCCGTGAACAATCTGCAATCGTGTAACAATTCAAAAAAAAAATCTATACTAAAAATGAATAATCTGCAGCTGTGTAACATATTTCAAATTAAAACTATATATTTCAGAAATGATCTACAATTAGTGTATGAATTCTGACCAATCAAATTTAGTTTATTCCAGACAGACAGACAGACATTAAAATTTTAGTAGTATAGATATACTCTGTGATAAACTACATATAAAATTCCTAATATGCATTCATATCTATACTATGTTGCATATATTATCAAATAAATACAGAATTTTGTGAACATATAACTACTTAAATTGCAATATAACTATACACTTTATTAAATTTTTAATATTACTCCATTCTTAGAATATTGTTGTTTATATTTTTAGTTTTTAGTATGACAGTATTTTGCAGCTATCTTATTTATTAAATAATTTAAAACAATTTTAATTTCAACATTAGCGATCTAAAAGTACATAAAGAAAATTTAAAAGAAAATTGAAAATTTTTATAACTACTTAGCTAAATATATATATTAAAAGTTGGTATACTAAAGAATCAAAAATTTGACAAAAATTTTTTGAATTATAATTTTTATAATAATTTTTAAAAATTGAATCTATTATGCTAAGATAATAATTTAACTAGATGCCTTGAATAACATTTATATAATTAATCTACCAAGCCACATATCACTATCATTTTAGTATAAGTTATAAAATAATCAAAAAAATTAAAAAATTTACTAAAATTGAACACTGTTACCAAAAATGAATTTAAATTACTAATAGATTATAACCATACAGCTAAGTTATTCCTGATGCAAACAACTCAAGATTAGTATCTAAATTTAAAATAAGCTATAAATTTTTTATATTACTATTAATATTAACTCATCTTTACTAAATTTATTTTTATCAATATTAAAGAAAGTTGTTAAAGCTAAAATTTTTATTTTTTTATTTAAAAATTTTTATAAATAAACTGTATTTTAAATTAAGCTATTAGTATATATATTTAAAAACAAAGAATATATAAAATAGATAATATTAAAAAAATTTAACAAACCTTAGGTTTTTGGTTATTATTTAAATAATATAAATAAGGTCAAGAAAGTTAAACTTTGTTATATAAAATAAATATAATCAAGGTCTAGTTTTATTATAACAATTATTAAACTAATAATATTTAAATTTTTTTTAAATAGAAATAAGCAATTAGTTATTTTATATTTAAAATTATTTAGAGTTTGGGCCCTGTAGCTTATTGGTTAAGCTCTCAAACCCCCACAGACAAGGTCAACGGTTCAAGTTGGGCTGGTAGCAAATTTTCAAATTTGCTACTGTAACCTATATAGTGCCAAAATTGAATGCGAAGCCCTGTGGAAAGTTCAAGTGCAAGTATGGTTCTGGAATAGGAATTTCTAGAATGAGATCCAATCATAAAGTGTAAGCATTACGTGTGACAGCGGCATTACAGAAGGTTTAGTAAAATGATTGCACATGTAAGTCCTCGTAGGCACAGGCAACACCAACATCTCTTCTCCACCATTTAAGGCAATACCAACAT